ATCTATAGTAAACGTAAAGAATATTATTGCTCCTATTTGACAAAACACATTTAGAATACTTTCACAACAGAATTTCTCTACTTATTACATATTCATGATAAGGAAAAAGCTATTTTATTTATATAAAATTCATCTTGCAAGTACTTAGTTAAGTTAATCAGTTGCTTACTTTATTTTCATAAACTAAAAAATTACAAAAAGAATCAAATTTGCATTCCTACTTTAGCATCTTAAGTTTAGGTGAGAATATTTTGCTAAGTAGATTTTTTTCATCTAAAATTTCTAAAATTTTAAATTCCTAAAAATCATATAGCAATTTTTCCCATGGGATCAATATTTGGGGCTTATTAAAAAAGTCGTATATTACTTGATAACGATACGTATACTTGTGTAGCATCCCATAAATTTATAATATATTCTTATTTGTTTCATAGTGGAAAACTTACCTAGCTTTTGCTTTGGATTAATTTTTTAACTTTGTTGCAAATTAAGATTAACTATTAAGGAAATTAAGCATATAATTACATACATTGCATTTACATCTATATAAAAAGTCGGGATCACATACTGACATATGATGTAAGTCGTATGCCATATGTCATGTGTCGTATAACATATGTTGTATATCATATGTTTTATGTTGTGTGTCATATGTGGTATGTTGTAAGCCACATGTCACATGTCGTATTTTGCATGTCCTATGTTGTATGTCATAAACTGGAAGTCATATGTCATATGCCGCAAGCTGTATGCCATAAGCTGCATATCGTATTTCATAAATCATATGTCATATGAGCTATGTCATATGTTATATGTCTCATGCCATATGCGGTATGTCATATGCCATAATATATAAGATGTAAGTCAAATTTCGCAAGTTATATGGCGTTTTACATATGTTGTAAGTTGCATTACATCTATCATATATCATATATGGTATGTTGTATGTGATATGTCATATACTGCAAGCCAAAGCGGTAAGCGTTATGTTGGATGTTGTATGTCATAAGTTGAATGTCGTATGCCATAAATCGTATATCATATGACATATGGCCAATATCGTATGCCTTAGATCTCTTGTAGTAAGACATATGCCATAATAAGTAAGCTGTATGTCCTCCATAGTAAGTCGTATGTCGTATGTTGTATGTGGTATATCGTATGTTGTAAGTCATATGTAGTAAGTAGTATGTCACATGTCATAAATCTTATATCACATGACGTATGCTCTATGTCATATGTCATATATCGTATGTAGTATGTCATAATCCTAAGCAGTTTCTCATATGCAGTATGACGTCTGACATATGATGTAAGACGTAAGTCGTAAGCCATATGAGGTATATATAGTATCTCATATGTCGTATGTCATATGTAGTATGTTGTATGTCATATGAAGTATGTCGTATATAGTATGTCATATGTCATATGTAGTATAACTTCTGAAATATATATTGTAAGATATGTAGTATAACTTCTGAAATATGTTGTAAGAAGTAAGTCGTAAGTCATATGTCATATGTCATATGTAGTATGTCATATGCCATATGTCATATGTAGTATGTTTTATGCCATATGATGTATGTCATATGTCTTATTTAGTATAACGTTTGACATATTATGTTGTTCCACCTTCTCTCTTGATATTATTATTATTTTTATTATATTTAAAATAGATGCAGACACTTCAGGTGCACTTCGGGAGATCCTGTCTGACACTTCATGGTCTCAGGAGTAATTTTATGGAGAAGAGGCTTTCCTGCCTCCTTCGATCGAGAATGAAGAGGGCATGGAGGTTGCCTACATTGATCTGTAGGAACCAGCTATTGCGTGGCACGTGTCCCTCTTACGATGCCATTCCGGCTTTGGAGGGCGATGTGGGCTCTGAGTGTGAAACCTCAGTGAGGGTTAGCCAATATCAGAAGGAGAAGGACCTGTAATCAAAAAAATAATGCTACCCTGTGTTAATCCAATTATGAGAGGTTGCTTCAGGGATGAGTGGTTTGGGTGGATGGCTTCGATAATGTTTTAAGGAGCTCTAAAGGGAGATACCTGATGGTGGATAAAATTGAAAGACAGGGTCTATGGTGGTGATGTCCTCATACTTGTTGGCTCTTCTTTGTCCACCAAAAACTCTCAGCCTTTCAAAGAATTTTAAAGAATGTTGTGCACTTGTCACCTAACCTTGAAATGGAGTGACTTAGGGCTGTGATCTGTCCAGTAGATTTATGAACTTCCCAGGTGTTCCACGGGGAAGTCATGTCAATTAGTGATTGGATTTTGTCAGGGCTCGCTTTTATGTCTTCAAAAGTTATGATTTAGCTTAGGAACTTGCCACTCGAGGCTCCTACCATAAATTTTAGAGGGTTCAACCTCATGTTATACCTCCTTAAAGTTTTAAAGTTATTTTAGATCCTTTAAATGTTGTTATGTCATTTAGCTTTTTATGAAGACATCATCGATATAGACCGCAATATTTTTTTCCTTTTTGGTTTTCAATAATTATATCCATGAGACTCTGGTTGCCTCAACATTCTTAAGCCTAAATGATATTGCACTATAGCAAAACACACCCTTAATGTGATGAAAGCAGTTTTTTTTGCATCCGCTAGATCCTGATCTGATGATAGTTAGAAAAAACATCTAGGAAACTCATTACAGAGTATTCCATAGCTGCATCCACCAGAACGTTATCGGGTAGTAGTCCTTTGGGCAGGTAGCATTAGTTTGTAAACACATCCTCCATTTCCCATTGGCCTTTTGGACCATGACTATGTTTGACAACCAGTTGGGGTATTAAAATTCTCAGATATACCCTTCCTCACACAATTTCAACACTTCTTCCTTGATGGGTACAGTCAGTGTGGAGACCGAGTTCCTCGCCTTCTGCTTAATGGGTAGGATCATCAGAAATACGTTCAGCCTGTGAAAGGTAACATTAGCCGGTATCCCTGACATCTCTGCAGTGGACTAGACAAAAACATAAGTCTCAAAGCATATTAAATAACAATAATGTATGTCCTATGTCAGAACCTTCACTTATTAGAAAAAGACTTATCAGACTCACCCTCGCCAATTGGGACCTTTCGGGTGGCCTTATTGATCTCAAGACAATCCTCACTTCAGTTTAATAGTTCGAGTGGCTCCTAGTCTACACTGCTGACCGCTCGAAGGTAGCAGACACGTGATTTCTCTTAGTCTCCGCAAACAGTGATGACCTCCCCATTCCCTGAGAACTTCCCCGCGACATGGTAAGTATGCACTATAGCTCTGAAACCGTTCATTTGTGGGAGACCAAAAATGGTGTTGTTAATCATAGGCAAATTCAAAATCAATAAATCTTCCATCTCTATGTACTGCTTTTCTCCTTCCACTCAGATGAAAACCAATGGTATTGTGCCCAACGCCTCATTCCTTTCACCCAAAAAACCAAAAAGTGAGCTGGCTAGGGATACCAATCGGTTAGCCCAAGGATTAAGTTTAAGAAGGCTGACTTCAACAAAATGTTCGTGGAGCTGCCAGTGTCGATGTGGATACTCCCATCTTAGAAATTACTGATAATTCCTGTAACAATTATAGCTTAGTCATAGGGGTTTCTCCATTGGGGAATGTCGTCGTTGGTGAATGTGATGGGGGACAGTCTTCTCCCATTTGTACGGACGTGAGGTTGCATAACTCGATCGTTTTGGTTCTTTTCTATGAGCCCAACATAGGGGGATCAGTTCCTCTAAGGATGACCGAGACTATCTCGATGAGGTGGACGATGTATTTTCGAACGAGTTCAGTCATGGACTCTGAGGTCTATATCACTTCCAAACGATGGTTCTCTCTTTGTTGGGGATCTATGCTGGCTACTATTCTTTGGTTGCTCTTCTCTCTGGAATTATTATGCTCCTCTTCTTATTGATGACATGACTCTACATTCACTGCACTTTCTAGGATGTTTAACCTCAAAATTTACTAGGAGACACGTTTAAGGAATAGAGCACCGCTGATGAGAGAGGGAGGGAGAGCAATAACACAATATGGAATAATAAGATTATATATCCTCTATTAGTGGGAATGACACACTATTTATAGAAATGGATTAATACAAGTTTACACATTTTACCCCTCCAATATGCAGGCAAGACGGGGTATTTCAGCCCGTGTGTAGATTTGGCCGGTGGGGCTTAGAGGTATAAGTGGTGCCTACGAGTCCAAGCAGTTGCAAGAGCGGGCGACTGCGTATTGAAGGCTTTCACTATATCTTCTAGAGACGTAGGGTTCCACTATTGTTCTTTGATCTTTCTGCGTGGCGACGTGGTTAATTAGATCCTCTAGAGACGATTTTTCCCCTTGTTCATCTAAGGTACCTTGAGCATATGACGTCACCTTTTCTATTATTGTAGGGATGTCTTTGTAAATCGTGCTTACATGTCTTTGATGTACGCGTATATTTTATAATTTTAATCTTAAAAATTACTTTAATTTTTTTTAATTCATTGATTTAAGGAAATTTTATTTTTTAAATATTAACCCTAAAGAGAGTTCTCTTCCAACACGTTTGGGATGTAGGACTCGTGCGTCCTAGATTGAGAAAAAAATTTTTGTACAGAAGATGTACGCAGCGCCACGTACGTTTTGAGGGTTATACAAAGAGTATAAGGGAGATATCCATATTATACACCATCGTAAGCTCCATTTAACCTTCTACAACTTATCTGTAACCTATAAATAAATTCTTAATATATGCAAATAGAAGCGCGAAACTTATTTATAGGTTAAAAATAGATTATAAAAGATTACATGAAGGTTACAAGAAGGTATAACACAGATATAATCCTATTATAAACCCTGTATTATACATAAAACAAAAATTTTCCATTCCCAAAACTTATTTATAGGTTAAAAATAGATTATAAAATATTACATGAATGTTACAAGAAGGTATAACACAGATATAATCCCATTATAAAGCCTGTATTATACATAAAACAAAAATTTTCCATTCCCATGCTCTCTCTCTCTCTCACCTTCGGATTAGCCATCTTTTTTCAGACGCGCTCTCCTTTTGTTTTGACCAGCTGCCTTCGTCTATTGCAGGTGTTGGAATCTTGAGTTCTGTTTTAAGGATTGCTAGGTTTATGTTTATTATTGTCAACTGGGATATCACGCAATTGAAAACCGGCATTTTTATACGTATAACGGGATCGATCCTCTGCGTTGACTGCGAAGAGACCAGCAGAGCTTCAAGATACTCGCTTTGATTCTAGTCACAATACCTTCGATCCGATAAGATGGCGGACGTAAACTTCGAATCTCTGGCGGAGGCGACGTCCGGTGCTGTGGGGGCTCTGGTGAGCACAACCGTGCTCTACCCACTCGACACATGCAAGACAAGGTATCAGGCCGAGGTGGGATCGCACGGCCAGAAGAAGTACAGGTATAGGATCATCTCATCCCCCTCTTTAGGTCAATGAATTGTTCCCTCACTTGGCTTTTTGGTGCTTTTTAGATCATAATCGCATGGCTCTTTGATTTTAAAATTAGGAAATACACATATTTTGATTTCAGTTAGGGCCAAAATATGTGATAAAGTTGTCACTTTTTTTTGTTTCTTGCTTGGAATGCGGTGTTTCTGTGGGAGAAGCTTGGAATCAAGATGTCGTTGATTTGTAACTGAGAGATCTTGCATGGTTATATAGTTTGGGGACTAAATTTTATTTTGGAACTTTGAAACTAGTTATGTAACTCTTTTGGTAAACTATTGGGAGTATGCAGGATTTTTTTGTAAGAAGAATTACCAATCTCTGATTTTGTATATCTATTTTAAAGGTTGGCTACAAAGATGACACGCAATTATAGATTCTTTAAGGCAAAATGGCCCTTCTTTCCATGCAGGAAAGTTATTTTATTTTGATCATTCTTGTAGTTCAAAAAAGACATGGGATATGTCAATGAGTTTGCACAAAAAGCACTCTATGGGCATGGAATGTATCTTTTTTTGTAAGGTTCTTTACAATAATATATTTTTTTTTCTTTGGTTGAAATCATGGAATATCTCTTTTTGTTCGATGGAAATAGAGTTTTGTGGATTCACCCACGAATTGGAAGATCATTTCTTGATCTTTGAGCATCTTAAAGGGTTCAATGTGACTATTATCATTTCGGCTAGTGCAAAAGTTGAGGAATTTCCATTGTCGGGTGGTTTTTCAATAAAAGATGAGTGGGATACTTAGTAAGAAGTCATAAAAGAGAAATCTAAGATATTATAGATTGCTCGTGGTTAATATGAATGGAGATAAAAACTTTCCCAAGATTTTTGTCAAGATTTTGATCATCTATATGCTATGGGGGACAAACTTCATTCAAATTTGTGTAAGTTTCTAATAATCAGTTCCTTTGCATGAATAATTGCTGTATTTCCTCGTGAATTGCTTGAGTTCTTTCACATTTCTTATATAATTATTTATAGATTAGCACCTCAAGATACTTTGATGGAATTAAAGAATTCATCTTGGTAGCTTTGATGGAAATAAAAAATTTATCTTGGTAGAAACCTTGAAACCAATGGGAGTATTAGAGAGAGGTGAGCTTTCTCGTTAGTCCACATGCTAGGGTTTCCAATTCATTGTTCTCTAGCTCCAAGATTGAAACTCAAGAGTCATCCCAACTCTCATATCAAAGATGTCATTGGGATAAGAATCAAAGCAGGGGACCTCTTTGTTGCTCCTATCTGACCTTTTATGTTCTACGTACAAATTAGTACCCTTGCATGGATAGAAAATCACTGTATGAACAATAGGAGGATTAAAGAGAGGTGAGATTTCTTGTTAGTCCGCATGCAAGGGTTTCCAATTCATCGTTCTTTGGCTTCAAATTGAAACTCCGGAGTCATCCCAACTCTTAGATCAAAGATGTCATTGGGATGAGAATCAAAGTAGGGGACCTCTTTATTGCACCTATTTTGCCTTTTATGTTCTAGGTACAAATTAGTACCCTTGCATGGATAGAAAATTACTATGAACAAAATCTAAATTGACAAATGTCACTTATTAGGTATTTACTACTATACTCCTCAAAATATATTTTAGAAGAGAACCCATGTTCATGTTCAAGCCAACATGCTAAGGTTTTTCCCACATTTGAGTCATAGTTTGGGTATGGACCCGCTTGCTAATAATGTTTCAAATAATAAAGGCCAAATTATTCTTCGTGGCAAAACTAAAACCAATATCATATCGAGTCTTGTCCAATAAGATAGTCTCTGAGAGCGATTTTATTTTATAAAAAAATTCTCTTTTCTAAATCTCCATAGGCTTGGTTTAATAGCATAGAAAGTTTAATAGGACAACTTTTTTCTCTTTTCTAAACCAGTAGCTTCTTCAACCTCCTTTATTTTTGGATTTTTAATGCTCCTAACGTTTTGAGGCATTTTGAATTTTATATACTAATCTACTGTTACCCCACCTTATCTCGCGGCATAATGGTGTTTCCTATCAATCCATGCCATTCGTGGTAGTTTACCTGACAAATTGGGAGTTGTAGCCATTATAGTTGTAATTTTTTTGTCTTTGTTGGCTTTACCTTTCTTGAACAGTATGCTTACACATAGATTAAGTTTTCAATCAATTCACTAAGGAATATGGGTGGATCTGATGTTATCTTGTGAAGGCACCATTTATTATTAATGGAAAAAAATCTTTTTCTTTTTGCACATTTTCTTTGCCACAACACTCATTTTGTGATTGGTTAAACTAGGATTTTCAAATCTGTACATGAATGAGACTAATCACACCTGCTAAGTTAAAAATTATAAAATTAATCATTTTTTCATTGACGAATGATTTTTGCACTATTCATTTACAACAAATAAGTGACCAACTTTATTAATAGTGTTGAGATAGGGAAAATGACTGTACTTATACTATAGGAGACGATTGTATGGTTGGACTTCCAATTTGGAGAGCAGACCATGCAAGCTTAGTATGGATTTTGAATCTTCGTTTGCTAACTAACTAGGACATGAGACATTAAGTTATCCATCCATTTCACTTAACAAACTAAAACTAATATTATGGTCTACACATGCCAACATACATGAATTAACATCAAAATAATTGTCTGTACGAGCCCTTCAAGATAACAACACTCCTATTATGCCATCAAAACCTACAAATAACAAAAGCATCAGGTAATCTAAGAATCTTTATAATGGAGTGCCTCACTTACCTCTTTTAATTGTATCAAAAATGTTATTCACAATTCACAATAACTTTCAGTCTTTGGAAAAGTACCTGGAACTTAAAATAGGACACCTAGTCCTAGATTAGTTTCAATGAGTTGCCCTAGAATCTGCCAAAGATTGGAGGGAGAAAAAAGAGGTGAAGCATTTCACTGGCATTAGTGAAAATGATAATATCTTCTTCAAGAAGAGAAGGAATTGCTATGAATTGATAGCCCTAAAGAAAAAGGCACACTAATTGGAAGGAAAGCACTAACATGAACTACTTTAACCATTGTGCTTGTGAATGTGAGCACTTTCATCAAATCCTTAGAATTTAGCTCCTACCAACATCCTCATTCCATTGTGCTTCCTACTCATTGAACAAAATCAAAATTTTTTACTGACCATTTTTTATCAAATTAGAGGGTATTGCATGTCACCACAAAACCATGGTTTACTTAGTGGCTAAGTTGAATTTTTCATTTAAATAGAATTCGTTCTTTTTTATAATCCATTTTCAAACATTGATTAATTCCTCTAAGAGGAATGCCTTAAATGTTTTGGCAGAACTCATACCATATCGTACACTGATGAGCTTGACTTATTTTTTAGTGGATCAATTGGGGGTCTCTGGACTAGGTTAGATTGGGAAATATTAAAGCTGAAATGTGCTTAGTTTCTTAGTTGGCTATAAATTGAAAGCATGAAAAAGGCAACGTTCTCTCTGTAGGCCAAAAGAAAATATTTCACTTACACCCTCAACTTTAGTCAATCATCATGTGCTAGTTCTTGATCTTTAGTATTTTTGTGTTGTATCTTTCATTAGGGCCTCAAAGGAATTGAGACAACCAATTTTCTATCAACCAGTGAATTCCTTTTTGGAAAATCGTGCTCTTGAAGGACAACATTGGGATAGTTGATAAAACATATTTGATGAAAGTTAGCCTAACATAGTGAAGAATGCCATCTCTGAACTTGTTGAAGGATCTTGTCCATAATAACAAAGAAGAATGTATTTTTGTATCTACCATATATAAAAGGAATACCAAAGGCATTAAACTGGAAATTTGTTGGTTGAATATCTTATTGTGTTGGCAATCAGTGCCTCTAGTCTAGCAGGGGATTTAGATGCCAACTTGAAATAACTTTGTGTGTAATGAAAAACTTTTGAGATTTGAAAGAGATTAGAAGGACCCTACTAAGGGCCTCTTTAGCATTGCTGAGAGGTGGTGATGGCATTGGGCTTTTTTGTTGCAACTCCCCATGATGAATTGAAGAAGCCATTTTCTTTTCCAGTGTATAAATAAAAGGCTAACATCACATGAATGTATTTGATCCAATTGGTGTGAAAATGCCTTCATATTAAAAAGAGAAACACATTATCTATATCAACCCCTTACCGTAACCCCAGTATACCATAGCAGTGTTTCTAGCTCAACAATTTCTATTAGACAAATGGCATGAGCAAGATGCTTTTAATTAAATTTTGAGCCTTCTTTTAGCAATGTTGAATTGTGGTGATGTCATTGGGCCTTTTTTTGCAAATCCCCATGATGAATTGAAGAAGTCATTTAATTTTTCAGTGTATAAATAAAAGGCTAAACATCACATGAATATATTTGATCCAATTAGTGTGAAAGTGCCTTTGTATTAAAAAGAGAAACACAATAGCTATACCGTAACTCTAGCATGACATAGCTGTGTTTCTAGCTCAACAATTTTTTATTAGACAAATGGCATGAGCAAGATGCTTTTAAGAGGAGTTTGAGCTTTCTTATAGCATCAAAACATCAATGAAATAGTCTTATTTAAAACATGTTCTCATAATTAGGGTTGTCAATTTGGCTCATTCTTCATGAACAGCTCGTGTTTGGCTCGTTAAGCAGCTCGTGTTCGGTTGGTTCGTTAAGCCTAACGAGCCGAAGACGAACAAATTTTTAAGCTCGAAATGTAAACGAGCCGAACACGAACAACAGTTTGTTCGCTCGTGTTCG